TGGGAGGCTAGGTAGGAGGATTGCTTGAGGCCCAGGAGTTCAAAGAACCAGCCCCTAGCAACAAGTGAGACCTTGTTTCTTGAAAAAAAAAAGCAAGGCCGAAGGAAGGAAGGAGGGAAGGAAGAGGAAGGAGGGAAGGAGGGAAGGAGGAAGGAGGAGGAGGAGGGAAAAGAAAAATGTAGACCACTGGAGGACAGCTCTAGCACATAGACGTGAACACTCATGGAGTTAATGGCTGAGGATGGAATAGCAGGTGAGGGAATAGAAATAGAGGGTGCTGGGACTACCCTGTGTTAAGGGAGGTACAGGCCAGTGGTGCTTGTAGGGGAGAGGGTAGGGTGAAAGTGAGTTGTTTGTAGATGACTTGCATAGGTTTGTAGTGTTAAGAGGAAGGAAGGCGTTAGAAGGAAGCCTTTGAAGGTCAGGGGCTTGGGTGGAGGACAGGAATCTTTTTTTTTGTTTGTTTTATTTAAGACAGTATCTCACTCTGCCTTCCCAGGCTGGGAAGTGCAAGTGGTGCATCTTGGCTCATGGCAAACATCTGCTTCCCAGGTTCACAGCGATTCTCCCTGCCTCAGCCTTCCCGAGTAGCTGGGATCCACAGACTGCACCTCCCACGCCTAGCTATTTTTGTATTGTAGTAGGAGATGGGGTTTGCCATGTTGGGCCAGGGCTGGTTCTTGAATCCTGAGCCTCAGGGTAATCTACTGCCTCGGCCTCCAGAAAGTGCTGGGATTATAGGCGTGAAGCTACCGGGCACCCAGCTTCAGGGTTGTTCCCTAAGGTGGAACGTTGTTAGGGCCCACGATTTATGTGATTATTCAGTATGTGACCCTCCTAATTGGGCAGGAGACTTGGCTTTCCTAGTAAATGTGTTCATCTTTTCTTCCAGGGTCGTGGCTCCTGTATGGAGCAGAGGGGGAAATATGAATTAAAATGTGTTAGCATGTTGATGTGCCTCTTCCCCTGTATAGGTCAGGTGTAGGTTTACGAATAACAAAGGGGTCTCTCACCTATCAGACCTTACGCTCTTCCACCAGACCTGTCCCTTGTGGAGAGGCAGACAGGCAGGCAGGTCAGCCTGCTCTGCTTCCCAGGTTCAAGCGATTCTCCTGCCTCAGCCTCCCGAGTAGCTGGGATCACAGATGCCCACCTCCACGCCTAGCTAATTTTTGTATTTGTAGTAGAGATGGGGTTTTGCCATGTTGGCCAGGCTGGTCTTGAATCCCTGACCTCAGGTAATCTACCTGCCTCGGCCTCCCAAAGTGCTGGGATTATAGGCGTGAGCTACCGCACCCAGCCTTAGGGTTGTTTTCAAGCCCTTTGGAAGTTTAGGGCCCACGATTTATGTGATTACTTCAGTATGTGACCCTCCTAATTGGGCAGGACTTGGTTTTCCTAGTAAATGTGCCCATTCCTTTCTTCCAGGGTCGTGCTCCTGTATGGAGCAGAGGAAATATGAATTAAAATGTGTTAGCATTGTTTGATGTGCTCTTCCCTGATAGAGTCAGTGTAGGTTACGAATAAACAAAGGGGTCTCTACCTATTCAGAGACCTAAGCCTTCCACCCAGACCTGTCCCCTGTGGAGAGCAGACAGGCAGGCAGGTCAGCCTGGGTTGTGTAGGTGGCTGAGACTGGGCCCCAGGGCATGGCTGACTGTGGTGTCTGGTGCCCCCTGGTGGCTCCATGGTTGTTCTGCCGGTGAGCTTTGGAGTACCAGTTGCCTGGATGTTCTTACTGGAGCGGGGGAGTTCATGTGAGGTGGCCTATCTGTGGGATTAGATAATCAAATGACCCCACCCAGCTCACAGGACCTCGGGCATATCAGGCATGTAGGCACCTCCTTAAAAACCCCACAAAGTCACCGGGTGTGGTGGCTCACACCTGTAATCCCAGCACTTTGGGAGGCCAAGATGGGTGGATCACCTGAGGTCAGGAGTTTGAGACGAGCCTGAACAGCATGGTGAAACCCCGTCTCTACAAAAATACAAAAAATTAGCTGGACGTGATGGTGCACGCCTGTAGTCCCAGCTGCTTGGGAGGCTGAGGTAGGAGAATCACTTGAATCTGGGAGGCGCAGGTTGCAGTGAGCTGAGATCGCGCCACTGCACTCCAGCCTGGGCGACAGAGTAAGACTCCATCTCAAAACAAAACAAAACAAACAACCCACAAAGTCCTCAGCATCTGGAGGATGAGCCAATCTCTAAAAGTCAAGGGAGCAGTAGTCTTTCTGCATCAGGGTCTGCCAGGAATTTTTGAGGAGTGATGACAGTTTTTTGGGAGGTGCTGCAGAGGCCGTGCTCCTGTTTCTTTTTATAAGAATGGTGGGATTTGGTGTTCCAGTCTGTGAAGAGACACTGACCTGTTAGACCTAAACTTCTTGGTAAGTAGGATCAAGGGAAAAGGCAGTGTTCTTAAGAGGCCCAGAGTCCCACAGTCCAGAGGCCCACAAATGATTGATTTAGGCTATGCACAGTAGCTCATGCCTGTAATCCTAGCACTTTGGGAGACCGAGGCGGGCAGATCACCTGAGGTCAGGAGTTTGAGACTAGCCTGGCCAACATGGTGAAACCCTGTCTCTACTGAAAATACAAATTTAGCCGAGCATGACGGTGCATGCCTGTAATCCCAGCTACTTGGGAGGTTAAGGCAGGAGAATCGCTTGAACCCGCAAGGCAGAGGTTGCAGTGTGCCCAGTGCACCATTGCACTCCAGCCTGGGCAACAAGAGCGAAACTCTGTGTCAAAAAAAAAAAAAAAAGAGAAATGAGTGATTTTTTTTAAAGTTTTTTTTTTCTTATTGTGACAAAAAACATTTAAGATTTACTGTCTTAACCATTTGTAAGTGTACTGTTCAGTAGTGTTATGGAGATTCACATTGTTGTGAAACAGATCTCCGGAACTTTTTCATCTTGTGAAACGGAAACCCTGTAGCCATTAAACAGCAATTCCCCCATTCCCCCTTTCCCAGCCACTGGTAACTGTCATTCTACTTTCTGTTTCTATGAATTTGACGACTTTAGATACCTTATATAAGTGGAATCATGTAGTATTTATTGTTTGTGACTGGCTTATTTCCCTTAGCATAATGTTGTCAAGGCTGACCTATGTTATGTTATAGCATGTGACAATATGATTTCTTTCCTTTTTTTTTTTTTTTGAGACGTAGTCTTGCATTGTTGCCCAGGCTGGAGTGCAGTGGCACGATCTCGGCTCACTGCAAGCTCCACCTCCCGGGTTCACACTATTCTCCTGCCTCAGCCTGAGTAGCTGGGACTACAGACGCCCGGCTAATTTTTTTTTTGTATTTTTAGTAGAGACAGGTCGTGTTAGCCAGAATGGTCTCATCTCCTGACCTCGTGATCCGCCCACCTTGGCCTCCCAAAGTGTTGGGATTACAGGCGTGAGCCACCGCTCCTGGCTGATTT